GTCTTCTGTATCTCTGCAGCCAAGGCAACCCAATCCATTCTCAAGGCACAGATTAAATCCTTACCAAATAGAGTCAAGGGTCCATCCATTTCCTCTCCCGGGCCTAGCATGGTTCTAAGTGGAAGTAAAAGGTGCTGATCAGCAACTGCCACCCACCTTTACGTTCCACGGTGGCGTTCTCACCTGGCTTGCACATCACGGGTTCATTTCAGACTCAGCCACCATTCCAGACAGATTGGCCCTCACTAGCAGATGGGAAGCTGAGGCTGAGCAGGTGAAATGGCCTTGCAGCTGGAAGAAAGGTAGGGCCAGGACTTGGCCCAGGCAGCTGAACTCCCAGCCCCGGATTCATTTTACACACCCACTCCCAGCCCTCCACCAGCTTGGGTTTCATGTGGAAGACAGGATTTCCCCCGGGAGAATGAAAATTTGATTTTGGCCCCTAATTATAAAAATAACAGTGAAGAAGGCTCAAAGGCCTGCTGGTCTCAGTGCTGTGCTGATTTTGCTAAATGCACGGGAGTCAAGTGTTGCACCCCTCCTCGGGGCCAGGCTCACAATGCCCTTGGCTGGCACAGCTGCACATGCAGACACACACGCACGCACACACATGCATGCATGAGTCCCTGCACGTCCCAGGAGATGTGTCCCACCCCCTTCATTCCCCTCTGATAACCCAGAGGCTTCCAGCAGGACAGACACGTACCCTTCAGGCTGGCCACGTCAGGCACGTGCCAGACCAGCTGCCAGGGCCCAGAACCTCAGGCCTGCTGGGCCCTAGAGGGTGACCTGCTCCATAGCTGACCCTGCTCAACCTCAGAAAGGATGGTAACTCTCCGGGATGTGAGGGATGTGAGACCCCACCCAAGCCCTCCATGGAGTCAGTGTCCATGCAGGGTAGGGTTTAATGAGAAGCCTCAGGGAGCCCCCCAGCTTCCTGTGGGCACCCAGCCCCTCCTGGAGTCCTGGGGAGAGTGAGCATACTCCAAGGAGATGCAGAGAAACAAGCAGAGGCTCAGGCAGGGCCAGCAGGGCTCCAGCAGGAAAGGGGGTGAATCTGGGAAGGGTGGAGGTAATAAAGATGCACGGACAGGGCTTGACCGAGGAGTGTTCACTGGACAGTTTGAATTTAAGAAAGGGAAGACCCATGTGACCTGGGAAGAGATTGGGAAATGGGTTCTGGAGCAGGCAGCACTGGGTTTGGATCCTGGCCCTGCCACTTATAAGCTGGGTGATGTTGGGCAGGTGGCTTACCCTCTCTGAGCCCCTCAGTGTCATCTGCAAAATGGGCATACTGATAGCACCCAGCTCACAGATCGTGAGAAGAAAACGAGGTCCTCAGTAAAATGCTAAGCGTTGTGTCCGGCACACAGGGCCTGCTCAATTCACAGTAGCTGTTCTTTGGAAAGTACAGAGGCTCTGAGAGAAAACCCTGAGAAGCGAGTCACAGCCTACCCTGTGGGCTGTTAGAAAGGGGGTCCACATGGGTGAGAGGCAGCAGAGGGGCTGGGGCCAGAGACCAGGGCAGCCTCTGTCCTCGTCACTCTTGTCTTTGAAGGGTATGACAGGGTTAAGAGGTAAAGACAGCCACTGCTGCCCTACTGGGGTCTTTCCAGGGGATTTGTGAGGGTCCTGGGGAGCTTCTCTCCACCCCATGCCTGCATCATTCATATGAGGGGGCCAAGGGCCACAGAGGAGAGGAGACTTGCCCGAGGTCACTCAGACAGTGAGGATAGAGGCAGGCCTGCTAAGCCCAAGTCAACTTCCTTTTCCCTGCCCCTGCTCAGAAAGAGAAGCCAGGAGTCAAAAACCTAGAAACCACATTCCCTGGGGATAGAGATGCAAGACTCTGCTCCTGTTCCCACCCAGGACTTTGGCTAAGACCTTGCTGAGGCCTGGAGAACTCTTGTGCTTCCTCTAAAGCCCAGAGCGAAGACACCTCCTCCGGAAAGTCCACCCTGACTGGTGATGGCTGTCCTGCCAGATGGCCAAGCTGTGTTCTGCCAGGACAGGCTTGTACCCTTCAGGCTGGCCACGTCAGCATGTGCCAGACCAGCTGCCAGGGCCTAGGGCCTCTTTTGAGGCTTTGACTTGGCCCCCACCCTGGTTCATGGACCTACTATTTCCCCATGCTGAGCTTCAAGGTTCTGAGGCCAGAGACAGGGTCCTAGTCAAGTTTGAGGCCTCAGATCCAACACCATGACCCAGCCCAGTGCTTTTGTGGGTGGAATGAAGGAATCCTGACCATGCTGGGCTGAGACGTGCCAGGGCAAGGGCCCCAGGAGCAGGGACAGGGCCCTGGGGCATAGCCATCCTTCCCTGGCCTATCCCTGCCCCATGCCTGAGCCCCATGCTAAGAGCAAGTTCCTGTTGCAAGCTGTACCCTGTCCCAGACACCTGGCATTTACCAAAAGGGCAGAGACAGTGAGAAGGGCCTCCCCCATGCCATCCACTCACAAAGGAGCTGGAAAGGCCAGCAGGAAGGAGAGGAGTCATATTTCAAAGGGCTCTGAAGATGTCACAATGACAGCAATGCTCAGCACCTCAAACCACCCAAGGAGTCATATCCAGACTAGACAATATAAGAAACAGCTGCAGAGCAGCAAGAAGACAGCAACCCTACCCCAGAAATGGACATGAGAGGTAAACAATTAAAGAAAACAATTGAGGCCAGGAGTTCGAGACCAGCCTGGGCAACATAGTGAGAATCTGCCTCCTCAAAAAATGTTAAAATTAGCTGGGCAAGGTAGTGTATGCCTGTAGTCCTAACTACTCAGGAGACTGAGGTGGGAGGATCACTTGAGCCGAAGGTGAAGGCTGCAGTGAGCTATGATCACACCACGGCACTCCAGCCTGGGTGACAGCGTGCGATCTTGTCTCAAAAAAAAAAAAGAAATGATGCTGAAAATCATTATACATCACTTTTACCTCTGGTAGATGGGCAAAAATTCAAAAGCTGGATAAAGCCCAGCATTGGTGGGGATGTGAGTTACAGCTCCATCCCCACAGGACATGTACTAGGGGAATGTGGCAGCTCATTAAAGGGGTGGGTGGGCAGGAAAATGTGTGGCTGCACATCTAGGGTTCCATGTAGCAGTTGGAAGCAACAAGGCTAGATTTTATTTTGATTGATTGATTGACTGAGGGACAGGGTCTCACTCTGTCACCCAGGCTGGAGTGCAGTGGCATAATCATAGCTCACTGCAGCCTCCAACTCCTGGGCTTAAGGGATCCTCCTGCCCCAGCCTCTCAAGTAGCTGGGACTACAGCTGTACATCACCATGCCCAGCTCAAGGCTAGATTTTATAGTGTTGACTCCATGAGATCTATAACACAATGACATGTATCAGAGTAAAAAGAAAAATACGTGTTTACAAAAGAGTAATGCCCACCTGCAGGAACCATACAAACAAAGGCATCAAAGACAGTAAAACGGGGAAACAAAGGAAGGGTGTGAGGAAGGGAGGAAAGAAATAAACACCAAACGAGAAAAGTCAGTGATGCCAGTGAGCCTGCCGTGGCCTGAGTAACACTAACCACACCCCCAGTCCACACTGAGGACCACATCTGAGGTCCACAGGGAGGAACAGTCCCCAAGGTCCTCAGCGTATGCTCAGGTGGAGCCAGGAGCCGCGTCCATGAGGGTCAGATCTGGGCCTGACCTCAGAGCTTGCCCCTCCCTGCACCTTCCACAGCAGAGGAGGGTCTTGGCCAAAGTCAAGCTGCTGTGCACGCAGGGTCGCACCTACCTTGGGCGCCTTTTATGCCCTGGAAGAGGACATAACCTCAAACTAGAGCAGTGATTCTGCCCTGAGCTGGGTGCCAGGAGAAAATGGGAAGCAAGTCCTTGTTCTTACAAAAGTTCCTGGGAGGTCAGCTGCAGTGGCTCATGCCTGTAATCCCAGCACTTTTGGGGGCGAAGGCCAAAGGATTGCTTGAGGCCAGGAGCTCGAGACCAGCCTGGCCAGCATATTGAGACCCCCATCTCTAAAAATGTTTTTTTGTTTTTTTTTTTAATTAGTCGGATATGGTGGCTTGCAGCTATACTTTCAGTTACTCAGGAGGCTGAGGCAGGAGGATCATTTGAGCCCAGGAGGTCAAGGCTGTGGTGAGCTATGATCACACCACTGCACTCCAGCCTGGGTGACAGAGTAAGACCCTCTCTCAACTTTTTTTTTAAAGTCCCTGGAATTCAGGTGATTTTTTTTTTTCTTTAAGGAGAGTCTTTATCTTTAGACACACATTTAGAAAAATCTGTGAAATGATATGCTGTTATAGATGTGCTTCAAGATCTAGGTGTGGGGGCAGGGGAGAGGGGGCAAGGAGGTGGATGAAACCAGCTTGGTCATAAATTGATAGCTGCTGAGTCTGGGAATGAGTGCGTGGGGTTCATTATACCTTATTCTCTATTTACGCATGTGTTTCAGAGTTTCCATAATAAAAACTTCAAAAACAAAAACTTCCCAGTAAGAAACTATCCCATGTGAGGGGACTAGCCCTTGACCTCTGGGAACCCCACCCAGTCTGCCAGGGGACACGAAACCCGTGCCCTGCATCTTCTTAGCCTGCCTCAGCTGGCCAGGGGCCACATTGTAGGACACAGGCCTGGGGGTCCTGACAAATGCTCAGCCTTGGACCTGGCCCTCATCACTGAGGCCGAGTGTCAGGCACTGGAACCACATCTAAGCAGACCTAGTTCTGGTTCCAGCTCCACCTTGCACGTGGCCTGAGGCTCCTCACCTGAAACATACCTGCCTCGATCCGAGGAAACGCCCAGTGAGTCCTGGGTCATTATCATTGAGAAAGTCCCCCTGCTGTTATTGTGGCTGCTCCTCTCACTGCCTCTGCCTCCACATCTGTATGAGGAGGACTGGAATCACCTGGAAAGTTTGCAGATTAAATGAAGCAATGCTCAGTGTGCACTCAGAACTGCCAGGACCAGGGGAGGGAGCTGGCCAGGGTCATCCAGCCAGCTAATGGCATAACTGGGTTCTTCACAGGAGCAGAGCACTGTGCCAGCTGCCACTCCCATCCCCCACCATGAGGCCTTCAGGCCAGTGGACAACATGTCTTCATTCAGAGTCTGAGGCCATGTCCCTGAGACCCTTCCCTCCAGCCTCAACTCCCATTCCAGGAGCCTCTGACTCAGGAGAGCACCAGGAAGCCTGCGTGGGCCAGATGCAAGCCAGGAAGAAGAGGACTAGGAAAGGAGACAGAAGCCTCTATCCTACCCTCCTGGAACATAGAGGTATCCAGCGACATCAGTCTGGGAGACTGTGCCCAGACTCAGGGACCCTACCAGGAGACTGCTGGGTGACTCCTAAGTCAGGAGTGTTAGCCTTGCCTAGCCTTTCCTTTAATTAACAATAATAATAGTCAACATTTCTATACCTCCTACTGTGTACAAGGCAGTGTTCTGCTTTAGGTATATTATCTCATTTAATTCTCACAACAACCCTAAGAGGCCAATGCTATTATTGTCTTCATTTTACAGATGGGGAAACCTAGGCACAGAGAGGGTAACTTTCTTTCCCAGAGTCACTCAGCTTGCACACAGCAGAGCTAGGATTTGGCCCCAGCCAGCCTGCCTTGAGTTTGTGCTCTTACCCACCCCAGAGCACTCTCAGACAGCATTGCCTGACTTTTCCTGAGCCAGTGCTTCTGATTCCCCCTGGGGTGTAACAGCTGATACCCTGTTTATACCACAACACCTGGGATGGGAGCTTCACCCAGGGGTGGCAGTGCTGGCACCCGGACAGCAGTCCTACCTTGTCTCTTACTCGGGAAAGCAGAGCAGAAGGTGAGTGGTAATAACACTACCAGAGGGATGGGTTTTTAACTCATTATTTTTTCTTCTTCTTTGTTGTTGTTGTTGTTGAGATAGGGTTGCATTCCCATCACCCAGGTGGAGTGCAGTGCCACAGTCTCAGCTTACTGCAACCTCCAACTCCTGGGCTCAAGTGGTTCTCCTGCCTCAGCCTTCTGAGTAGCTGGGACTACAGGTGCACCCCACGGCACCTGGCTAATTTTTGTATTTTTTGTAGAGATGGGGTTTCTCCATGTTGCTCAGGCTGGTCTCAAACTCCTGGCCTCAAGCAATCCACTCACCTCTGCCTCCCAAAGTGCTGGGATTACAGGCATGAGCCACCGTGCCCAGCCTCCTTCTTAATTTAAATCACTCATAAAAAGTTAACCAAGATCTGGGCCAGGTGCAGTGGCTCAAAAATATATATACAAAAAATTAGCAGGGCATGGTGGCACACCTGTGGTCCCAGCTACTTGGGAGGCTGAGGTGGGAGGATTGCTTGAGCCAGGGAGGCAGAGGTTGCAGTGAACCGAGATTGTGCCACTGTACTCCAGCTATGCCAGCCTAGGCAACAGAGCGAGACCCTGTCTCAAAAAAAAAAAAAAGAAAGTTATCCAAGATCAGCAACAAAGTAGTCATGAAACGCCCTTACAACCAGTCACAGCAAGGCCCTGAAGAATCTTTCCTCTACTGAATGCAAGCAGCTGGGGCATCCCTCCCAGCTGAAACATGCTGGAACAGGAGTGGTTAGGAGCACAGGTCTCAGGGGGTGGGTGCTGCCACTTCCAAGCTGTAAAACCCTGGATCACAGATTAGTTCACCTCTCTGGGCCTCAGTTTTCCCATCCGCAAAGTGGGGATGATAATAGCCTCTCCTAAAAAATTTTTTAGGAGTTTTTTTTTTTTTTTTTTTTTTTTTTTTTTTTCCGGCTTCAGGTTTATTTGTACAAATAGCAGAGGAGAACACCAGCCCCATGCAGACGGCAGCCCAGGGGGTTCATACTAGTCCTTCTGTCCTCATGTTGGCGGACAGAGATCTTTACTCTGAAACCTTTGTAGGGGCCTGGGCAGCTTTGGGAGCCTGAGCTGGAACTGAAGCTGGAGCTGCAGCCTGGGCCTTAGTTTGGTCCTTGGCCTTTGACCGGCACAGCCTGAGCCCTCTGGTAATGCAGGCATGAACACACTTCCCAAGCTTGGGGTGGGCAATGTAGGCAAGTCAGTCGAGCTTGCAGCTGACACCCTTTGGGATCTTGGGCTTAACCTCTTTGGGCTTTATGAGGACCTTGATAGCCTCAGCACATGCCCTCATGGCCTTGGCATCGCTGGCCTGCATCTTCTTTAGGCTCTACTTGTTGTGCTTCTCGGCAAGGTGCATGCTCCTCAGGAACTTGGGGTCCACCCCGTTAAGACATTTGTATCTTTGTGATCAGGGTTTCCTGATGCCATTTCTGTGCCATTTTGGGGACTGGTTGTATGTGTTGTGGTTCTCGGACTTTGCCATGTCTACACCTTAAGCCGTGGCTGCCGAAGCGCCTAGAAGAGCTAGAAAGTTTAAATGAACTAATCTATGTAAAGCATTCAGCATAGGGCCTGGCACAAAGAAGGTGCACAACATGGGCTATTAACATTACTACTGCGATCAGGACCACCCCAACCAAGTCATGCGCTCCTTTGGGGGAAGGAACTGCATCTTTTTTTTTTTTTTTTTTTTTTTTTTGAGGGAGAGTCTTGCTCTGTCGCCCGAGCTGGAGTGCAATGGCCGAATCTCAGCTCACTGCAAGCTCCGCCTCCCAGGTTTGCGCCATTCTCCTGCCTCAGCCTCCCGAGTAGCTGGGACTACAGGCGCCCACCACCTCGCCCGGCTAGTTTTTTGTATTTTTTAGTAGAGACGGGGTTTCACCGTGTTAGCCAGGATGGTCTCGATCTCCTGACCTCGTGATCCGCCCGTCTCGGCCTCCCAAAGTGCTGGGATTACAGGCTTGAGCCACTGCGCCCGGCCGGAACTGCATCTTATTTATCTTTGTCTATTTGAGCATTTGCCATGGTGCTTGGCACACAGTAGGTGCTCCATGTCTTAGTTCAGGTTCCCCAGAAGCAGATCCTGAGATGAGGATTCATAGCTAAATGATTTGGGAGTGCTCCCAGGGAAACTGGAGAGGGACTTGGGAGAGCAAGACAAGAAAGTAAGAGGCTAAGAAGGGTGCAGATTCAGGAAAAATTCTGCAGAGGGTGACTTCAGCCTGATCTCGCAGGGGAACTTGGGAGTATAAGTTACACCTCAGGGTTGTCCTCACTCCAGGCAAGGGAGCTGGGACTTCACTCCGCTGCACCCCAGTCATTGGCTAAGGTCCACTATGAAGGGGATAGACTTCCAGGCACTTACCATTATGCTCCAGTAGCAGAGGGCAGTGTCGAGAGACCACCTAGAAGGGAAGGCACCCAGGGGCCAGGAGGGTCCATGAAAATGGAAAAGGGGTGGAGGGGACCTGCCACCTTCCATAAATGTCATCCCAGCCTCTGAAGGGTCACAGTTCCCCAGAAAGTCCAGGACAGTGGAGGCAGAGCGGACAGGGGGGACTGCCAGGCTGTGGGAGCAGCTTTAACTTCCACGTTGGCCAGAGCTGTGAGGGTCCACTGAGTGGCCAGCCTCCCTACCCGCTGACAGTGGCAGGCCTGGGACTGCCTGAGTTGGTATTAAGGGCCCTTACTATGTGCCTGGCATAGATGCTGAGTTCTTCACATGATTTTCTCATTTAACCCTCACACCACCCCTGGACAGATGACTCTGAGGCATGGAGGCATGGCATGGAGAGGCCTACCTGTGGCCCCCCAAAGAGTGAAGGGCAAATATGATTGATGTCATTAAGAAATGCAAATGAAAACCACAATGAGCCACCATTTCACACCCACTAGGGAGGTTATAATAAGAAATCTTTAATGAAACATAAGTGTTGGTGAAGATGTGAAGAAATGAGATCCCTCACACATTGCTAGTGGGAACGTAAAATGGTATGGCTGCCGTGGAAGTTCGGCAGTTCCACCATAAGCTAAACACAGAAGCACCACAGGACCCTGAAATTCCACTCTTAGTATAGACTAAAAAAAATTAAATACACTTGTTCAGACAAAAGCTTGCACAAGAATGTTCACAGCAGTGCTATTCACAACCCCAACAGCAGAAACAACCCCAATGTCCACCACTGACGAATGGATACACAAAATGTGGTACATCCACACAATGGAATATTATTCAGTCATAAAAAGAAATAAGATACCGATGCATGCTACAACATGGATGAACCTTGAAAACATGATGCTGAGTAAAGGAAGCCAGACACAAAAGGCCATATAGTACACAATCCCTTTTATCAGAAATGTACAGAATGGGGAGATTTTTAGAGACAGAATGCAGATTGCTGGCTGCCAGGGGCTGGGAGGCGGCAGGGACTGACGAGCAGTGTGGAACTGGGGAGTGGTGACAGTCAAGCAGCATTTTCTTTTTTTTCCTTTTCTTTTTTTTTCAAGATAGGGTCTCACTCTGTCACCCAGGCTAGAATGCAGTGGCACGATCTCCGCTCACCACAGCCTCAACCTCCTAGGCTCAACCAGTCCTCCCACCTTAGCCTCCCAAGTAGCTAACTACATGGGCACACCATCACAACAACTCATTTTTGTATTTTTTTGTAGATACAGGGTCTCCCCATGTTGCCCAGGCTGGTTTTGAACTCCTGGGCTCAAGCAATCCACCCGCCTCAGCCTCCCAAAGTGCTCGGATTACAGGTGTAAGTCGCCATGCCCAGCCTGCACAGCATTTTCAACGTACTAAATGCTGCTAAATTATACACTTTAAGGGCAGGTGCGGGGCTCACGCCTGTAATCCCAGCACTTTGGGAGGCCAAGGTGGGCAGACTGCCTGAGCCCAGGAGTTCGAGACCAGCCTGGGCAACATGGTGAGACCCCATCTCTACTAAAAATACAAAAAAATTAGCCAGGCGTGGTGGCACACACCTGTAATCCTAGCTACTTGCAAGGCTGAGACAGGAGAATCGCTTGAACACAGGAGGCAGAGGTTGCAGTGAGCCGAGATTGCACCACTACACTCCAGCCTGGGTGACAGAGTGAGACTGTCTCCTAAATAAATAGATAAATAAAATATTTTAATATGGTTAAAATGGCAACTTTTATGTGTACTTTACCAGAATTCTCTTAAGTTAAAAACAAACTGTGAGTTTTGAACCTCCCCTCCAAGGGCCTGGGAGCTGCCAACAGAGTCAGCCACAGTGTTTCCAGATGGACAGAATGAATCAAAAACATGTTTGCCAGATACTATGCCGACAGGAAGATGGGACTCAAGTTGTTTTTAAAATTTTTTGTGCCTTGGCCTGCTGGAGAAATAAAATCTCTGACCTTGAGTTCATAGAGGCCTGAATGTAAATGCTGGTTCCACCACTGGCTGTGTGACCTTGGGTAAATCACTGAGTCTTTCTGGGCCTCAGTTTTCTCATCTGTAAAATGGAGATACGCAGCAGCTCTTCGTTAACTCATGAAAAAGCCTTAAACATATTGCAGGAACACAGTAAGGACCAGCAAGGGTTCGTTTCCTTCCTCCCTCTCCTTTCCCCACACATGCCCTTGACATTTATCCCAGCCAGATTTCACCTATACAGTTACTCTCCCAGGAGGCTGTGCACAGGGCAGTACTTGTCGAGGTTCTCTGATGGGCCCTGCCCGTAGGATGTTTACACTTTCTTTTTTTTTTTTTTTTGAGGCAGAGTCTCACTCTGTCCCCCAGGCTGGAGTGCAGTGGCGTGGTCTCAGCTCACTGCAAACTCCACCTCCCAGGTTCAAGCGATTCTCCTGCCTCGGCCTCCTGAGTAGCTGGGACTACAGGTGCGTCCCACCACGCCTGGCTAATTTTTGTATTTTTAGTAGA